ACAATGAATTTCTCTTTCGGGATGCATTTTTCTGCTCATACACAATTCTATTTTCAGGAATTTAGTGCTACTTCAAGGAGGGTTGGCAGCAGTGGCGGCTGCTGGTCTTTCAATGAGGGGAAGCTCATTTTTCTGGCCTACATCATAATTGTATTTGTTTATTAGTATGTAACAGAACAGAGTCGCCAAACACAACGGCAGTCGTTTTTAATAAAGACAGAAGTCGCTGAGGATCGGTAAAGTCACCGGAGCAGTTAAGAACAACGGAATGAATGACTTGGAAAATGCTCTGGTAGATGTTTTATTCTTCAAGATCGCTGATTCGCTTGTTTAGCTGTCAATCAAAAAAGGATTTCGCCTCAGACAGCTCATCCAATCATGGATGCAGAAGCTTGCAGTCCGGGAGAAAGTCAGTGAAGCTTAGCTTCCATTGGGCGGGACAAAGCCCAGCATTTATCCAATGAGCGTCTAGTTTCGCTGCTGGAACAACCCACTTTTAGCTTCCACATTGAAGTCAGCAGAAGCCCAGCGTCCGGCTGTTTAAAGCGCTGAGGCGCTGCGAGGATGAATGAGAACGAAGTTATGCCGGTTACCTATAATTATCAGCTTCTTATCACAGTGTCTGAACAAAAGATGAAGGCTTTCTAGTGCGTATTTAGTTAATGAAATGTACACACAGCAGTACGTATTTTACCACTTTTTCTTTTTTTTGGGGGGTGACATTTTAAGGGAAGCCGAGCTTCCCTTGCAGTCTTAGAGCAATCGCCACTGGTTGGCAGGCATGGCATCTAAGTAAACTGTCACGCAATGTTCTGTTTATTGAGTTTTTCCCTGTGATTTGAGTGTATTTTCCCTAGTGTTTCTGTGCCCTATTGTTCCTGTTCCCCTTTAGTCCTGTCTTGTGAGTTTTCAGTTTGGGTCTGACCCCAGGTCCCCCATGTTCTCAGTGTTTTATTCTATTATCAGTTAACAGTGTTTCCTGTTTCATTTTGTAGTAGTTTATTCCCTGTGTGTATAGTCTTGTTTTACTTCCTCAGTTTTCCCCCCTTAGTGTGTCTCAAGGCTCTATTTTCGTGTCCGCCGGGGACGCGGCGGAGGGTGGCGGACCCCGAGCAGTGGTATTTTCGTCTGGCACAGCCTGGCATACAGCCAGTTTGGTATTTTCGTGGACTGAGGCGCACCGAGGTCCGCCAAGCTGGGCGTGGTGGCATGGCAGGGGGAGTTAGTAGGCGCAGTGACATTTTCGTGCTCGCTGCCGGCATGTAAAGTGCGCTGAAAGCTCGCCGATTCAAACCTGGTCAGCTTTCAGCGCAGGCGGAGCGCAGCTGGTCTAGTGGTATTTTGGTAGACCGGCGGTGAATCGGCATACGTCACCGATGCCTCACCGGTAGGTTTCCACAGTGTCAGGCACATTTCAGTGCAATAAATAATCAACAACAACTAATAATCTGAGTCAGAACATACATTTCGATCTATATAGATATATTCTGATCTATATCTGATCTGATGACCGCGTTTGGCACGTGTTTGGACACTCAACCTGGCCGAATTTACACAGCTGAAACCGCATTAAATTAAATTAAATTAAATTAAATTAAATATCTAGTAAATAGACACACATGATGAAGTGAACTAGATATGTAATTCCTCTCCCTCCTTTTCTTTCTTCCTCCTCCTCTTATTTCTCGCGCAGCTCGACCTGGACATGTCTCTGTGTCCTCTCCCTGTCCTGCTGCAGCAGCTGTTGCAGCTGAACTGATGATTAATTCTAGTGATCAGATGAGTTATTTAAATTAAGCCTACATATGAATATTATAATATTTAGTTTTGTGAGCCAAATTTATTTTATATGCCAACATCTATGAAAGAAAGAGCCAGGCCACGGAGTGGGATGCGTCATTACGCACAGATGATTCCGATTTTAATGCCATTTTTGAGTTTATGTTGTGATCTGTGTGCACAACACACCTTTGTCACATGAGTTTTAAATACATGCCGCTCACCAAAATACCAAATTGTGCTTGGGAACGCCTTGTCGGCGCGGCGGACCTGATTTACACCGCGCATGCGCCGCGTCACCGGCGGGGCACGGAACTAGAGCCCTCAGTGTCTCACCTGCCTCTCGTTGCTCATTACCCTGTATATATATAGTCGTTGTCTTACTCTGTTTCTTTGTTTGGTCATTGTGTGTGAATTTGTGTTGTTAGTCTGTGTGTCAGTGTCTCCAGTTTCTTCAGTGTCTCCATGTGATTTTTCCCCCAGTGCTTTTGTTGGATTTTGGGTTTGGGATTTTTTTGAGTTGGACATTTATAAGTAAGTTTTTGTTGCTTTTTATTTAGTTCATTTTGAATAAATCTTTTTTCGCTCTGCATTTTAGGTCCTTCCCTATTTTGTTTTACCCTGAATTGTGACATAAACCACATGTTGAGCACAGTCTTGGGCAAAGACAGGGAAGGACTAAGAATGGTTAAAAAATCTCTGATTCCTGAATATCATTAAAGATAAGATAAGAAGAAATATCTCTTTCAGTCATAATCATTCACATAGCCAGATAACCTATATAGAAAAAAAATGACAGAGACAGGAGGAATAGGTTTTAAATCCGTCCTCTGACCTACAAAGCTATTCCAGGTTTGGCAGCATGACATTGCAAAGAGCTCATATAGGCCATTTTCGAATTCGCCTACTATACTAGCAGTACATACTGATTTGCCCAAAATGTAGTATGCAATATGAAGTAGGTGAACAAATGCAATATTTGCAGTATGCCAGAAATACACGAATGACGTACTGATTTGGGAAATTTCACAGTATGCATTGGACCAATCTGCTTCGCCTACTGTTACCCACAATGCAAAGTGCCTGGGCAGACGGCGGAGTGCGGTGAAACTTTTCAACCGAGCATTCATCTTCTGAGTTGACCGCCAAAAGATTTCTCCTTCTGACAGCCTGTCTTCTGCTCCTTCTTTCAGCATTATGTGTGCAAACCACTGACAAGAATGCCATGCTTTGTTACCATACCTTACAATTTTTATCCTTTATTTCCATAGCCTCAAATTTTCCTGCCCCTTCGCATCCCTTATACTGTACAATATGCGTGATATTTACCACACACAGCGTGTGCTATCAGGGATGTTTGCATCACACCGCTGGACAGGCAGCTGGCATAAGAGGGGGTCTAAAGCTTTAATGCAGAAAGGTGAGTAAACGTTAAAGCAGTCAGACTCAATCAGCAGCCAAGACTGTATTTGAAATAAATTGACAGGAGACAGGAGTTTATATTAGAGGGTTTTTACTGTAGTTGTCAAACTATCAGGACAAAGGGAAATAAGACCGCACCACACAGACGCCATCAGTTATTACATTTAGCAAGGATTGCAACTTCTTTCATTTAAGCAGGAGACAAGGACAACATAAACATAACTTTGGCTGTATTTACAGTGCCGTGATGAGAATCAAATGCTGCTAGATCTATAGATTGCATAGACAGAACACGTTCTGCTGGCTGGTATTGGACTAAAAAATCCAGAAAAAATCAAATTAAAACACATTTTTTCAGTGCGTAAATGAATGGGCAACACTGTAGTGTCAGTGCAATTTACCAGGGTACAATGTACTTTTTCATACCAGAAACCAGCTAAACTGGGCCAAGCATACTAGATAATAACGGCTGATTTGCAGTCATACTGCATACTACTATTAAACACAGTACTCAGTATGCAGTATCTAGTGCATACTGCGGTCGGTAGGAGTATGTAGTAGGCCTATTTCGAAAACAGCCATAGTGTCCACAACCCCACTAGAATGTTACATTACCAGAATGCAGACCTACACATTCTCATACCTGGAGTTTCTAAAAGTAGTATAGGAGGTGGAACCTTTAAGCATCAGAACCCTCTCCTTTATCAGCTAGTGTGGGTCTGGGGGTCAGATACTCTGTGTCCTTTTCAGAGTATACTTCAAACTTGTCTCTTTCAAGGAGTTTATTTAATTAGGGTCAGAGGCAGTCCTGGCTAGTTTTATAAACAATAACATCTGCAAACACTAAAGAACTTGTAACAAGAACAAAACTTTATCTTTAGTCTTTAGTCTAAAATGTTGAAATAGCCAAGAATGATGACCTAGAGCCTTTATAAAGTACAAGGTTCAGCTTCATTCAAAAGTAATGCAGTTCCAATACTTACAGTTAAAATCTAATACTTACTGATGTAAGGAGGCTGAGACCTGTGAAGAGTTTACAGTACCAGAATTGGTTGTCCTTATGCCAACTTAGCAGAACAGAACATCCTTTTCTCTGTCCTGTCTGCACAAAGACAGGAAATTAGGAGAAGAGAAGGACGCGTCTAAATGTGTTACCTTGAATTTTCCTTCGTTATAGTAGGTATCAATAAGGTGTAAACTTGGGTTGGAAGAATATAACGTAGATTGTAACAGTGACAAAACTGTGTCATGATAAGGCAGTACATTGAGTAAGCTTAAACGGGACTCCTGTCTTGGTTGTAACAAAAAATTAAATGCAAAAGACCATTAGGGTGATAGTGTCAATTTACTGAGTCCATCAAAACTTTGAAGCATCTCAGATGCAGGATACAGGCCCATTTACACCTCTGATGTTTCATAATGAAACAAACTTACTGCAAGGACTTTTTTGCCTAAATTTTTAGAGCCATGCCAGATGTCCAATGTGTGCCGAACTCCACTGTCCTTGTATTTTCCCTTGTCTGTGTTTATAAGGAGGGAGAAACATCACATTTATGAAACACGAGGAATACACAAGGAATGATTAGTTCTAAAAAAAAAATAAAATAAAAAAAAACTGAAATCACATGCTCATGGAAATATGCAAAGAAGGAGTATGTATACATTACAAGGAGTAAAATAGCTAACAAATTCCTACACACCGTCTGAACACACCAAACATCAAAGAACGCTGAAATCTGTGCAAGAGCATCTATGCAGAACTCCTTCAAATTTATTTCCTGAAGGAGGCTGTCAAAGGTTCAGACATAGGCCTCCTTCTCCATGATGACAGAATTTTTCTGAGTCACCCTCTTGTCAATGTTGACAACCAAGATTATCTCTTTTGTGTCATTGTCCATGGTGGTGTACATGCAGTACTGAGCAGAAAATCCAGGACTGTCCATATGAGCATCACCTAAAAATATGAGGAAAAAGGCCAAAAAAAGCAGACTGATTGTTAATGTGTTCATACACTTAGAAACATGCATGACAACAGTAATCTAAAATGGATGAGTAAGATATGGTGAAACACAGCAATAGCGATACTAGAACTATTGAATATGTTTGAACTATACAGTGAAGTCATTGAATATTACAGATGTAGGTTAGTGAGAGTGAATGTGACAGTAAGTAAGCGAGTGAATAAGCAGTTCACTTACGCAGGGTCACTACACTGTCCCTTGACTTCAACCAGGTTATGACTGCTGCCCTCTTCATTCCAGAACTCCTTGATGCTGTTGACACAGTAGAGGTCCTGGATTTTAAAGGGGGAGGACCCTTCTACTACCCCCATGTTCATGAATTTGAAGAGGAGCGCTATCTTCCCATAGTTATTTCTGGAGAGAAGGATGTTTAGAGGCCAACATGAATTCTCCAGCTTGCATTCTATACTTCAATATTGGCTGAAAATTCCATCTCCAGACAATGTGACCCTGGGGACAGATCTTAAAAGAAAGACAAAGGAAGACAGGACAAAACATCAGCTGTCATTATTAGACATGAACCACACATTTAAAAAAATTACAGTGATGATGTAGTAGTCAAGTGTGATGAATATCTGCCCTTTGTTTTAACCCAATACTCACCCACTCGATGACAGCAGATGTGCCCCTGGCATGTATTTTGACATCAAAAGGTTGAGGGGCATTGCAGTCTACTCTGGTAAAGGGGTCTTTGTAGGTACACGTTCGGACAGGCATCAGGAGATATTCAACCAGCTGCTGCAAACATCTATGGTACACAATGGAGGCCTGCTGACCAATGAGGTCCTCCTCACACTCGACCAGTGCACTACCTGGTGCTGGTGGTATAATTTCTGGAGGTTGATCCTCCATGTCATGCACAGTGTCCTCAATACCAACAGCAGGAAGCCCATTTAACCATTGCTCCTTTTGTAGAGCTCCACCTGTCCTGTGTAACAAAGTGGAAATCCCCTCAGAAGAGGTTAGAGTACTTGGGTCAGAATTCCAATGTCCTGCATGAAAGCAATGCTATGTCTTTGCAAGTTTTTTTTAGCCACACATTAGTCCCCTTTTAGAGGACCTCAACAGTTCCATGACTAATTTTAAAAATATGTTATATGATCAGGAAGAAAATAAAAAGGGTGCTGAGATCTATATCCAGGGGAATAGAATAAATAAAAGGCATTAAACGTTACAATATAACTGTAGGTACAGCACTGTGATGAAGCAGTTTAGTGGCCATTCTAATGTTAGTTTTTATGATAGAATGAGGTGGTGGTATGCAATACGTGCTTCACACAAAGAAGAGGCAGGTATTCACAGTCAGTACCGTCACTGTCATCAGTGAGGTTTGTGTCATCTTCCTGTGTATCCGTTTCTTCTTCAGATGACCCAACCTCAGTCTCCTCTTCAGGAAACCAGGTTTCATCTCCTTCACTGTCATCTTACCATGACTGATCTGCCCAACCAATCCTATGTACACAAATCGGACAATTCAAGTGCATAAAATAAGGTGTAATTTGTTGAATACACAGTAAATGTATTGTTCTTCTCTTAGATTGGGACATATCTGCAACCTAAATTTACACTGAGTTTCTCATGTAATTGAACTCCACTTCATTCAGGCCTTCAATTGCTTCTGTTGCACAAATACTATAAAGACATCAATGAAAATATCACACACATTTTTTAAACAAACAGTAGCATGCCCTGCAATCCTGGTCTGTCACAATCACAACTGTTTTTTTTTGTTTTGTTTGTTTGTTTGTTTTTTGTCAATGACTTGGCCATACCTTGTTTCCATTGCTGTAAATGTAGAGTCTCTGGTGTCCTCATCTCTGCGAAAAAAAGTAGTGAGTAAATACACAACATTTGCAAATTAAGCGAGTAGATTAATTGCGCTTTGTGTGAACACAACATGAGACTCACTCAAACACAACCTTTGCAGTTGCGAATTGATCCTCTGCCGGCCCCTTGCCTTTTCTTCTGACAGTGAGTGACACACAACCTATATACATGACTCTCAGCAACAAGTTGACTTGATAAGTGGGAAGTCTCAGTGCCCACCCTTACATGGAAATGAGTGGCAGTCTGGAAAACTGCAGTTTTTCTCTTTTGTTTGTTTGATTTTTTTTTTTTGTTTTTGGAGGGCCCTCACACACTATAAATTACAACCTGGGCGGTACCCCACACCACCCATGGCAAAAACCGCCTCTGGTTAGGGTTGGCTCAGGCTTGGATCAGCTCTTAATTATACAACATTAGGCTTAGACCATTGAGGAAACTGGCACACCGATCATCTGTCTATCTCTCTCTCTTCTCTATCGGTCTGAATGCCATCTAACTTTGAATAGTTTCTATATAGATTGCATAGTCTATTTTAGAAATATTAATCACTGTATGCTGTGTGATTACTGTGGTCTTATGAAACAGTTCTGGCCCTGCAGCATCCCTAGCAACAATCCTGGACTACAGTAGTTAATGAGCGACAGGTGTGGGATGATGGCAACAGCAATATTTCAGCCACGGAGGGAGACACAAGGAATAAGGCAGAGAAAGCACAGCGGTGAACATCAGAGCTAGCCAACAGCACAGGCCGGGAGAAGAGTCATCTTAGTAGAGCAGACAAATGCATAATATAGCCCGAATCGTTCACTTTGTTATACAAGCATGAAATTTGGTACATATACTCGTCAAACCCCACTCTTTTCAAAAATAACATTAGCCACGCAAAATTCTAAGATGCGGCCCCAAAATCCAAGATGTCCGCCTCAAAAATGTGGTTTTTCCTTTATAACTCAAAATGCCTTGATTTTAAGCCCCATACATATATTGAAGTTGAATATAAAGTTGTGTATTGCAGACATTTTGGTACCTAGTACATCTCTGTATCCATTACGGTTCTTGAGATACAGCATATAGATACTTGTACAGAATTGGAAGAGTGAGAAATTTGTAACACCAATTGTTGTTACGTGCATATGGTTATATGAAAATATAATTTCCATTATCTATTATTTTCATGAGGCTTATAACATTAAATTTGAAAAACAAGATGGTGTCCAAGATGGCTGCCATTGCCTTGAAGTAATCCGATCTTAGTGACTATGAAACATTTACTTTTGGCATGCACATATTTTTGGTCAATGCATCCAATGGGGCCATTGCAGTACAGAATTTAGATGTTTATACAGTACAAGCTTGCAGATGTAATACAGTGAATATCGGCACACAACCAGGGCACACTGGTGATATCACTGCTGTGTAACTCAGCATGACCTCCAGGAGTTCTTTCAGCATGAGAACCAGTCCTTCCCTGTTGCATTGAGCAAAAGTGGAAAATTGTACACTTGCCAGAAGTCTCAGCTGACCCCTATCCTTGAGAATTATGTCCCACCAGTTGACAAGGAACCTGAGGCAGACGTTCTCATTGTAGATGGGTCAGCTTTGGACCACGCCCTGCCACCAAAAAGATCCAAGACTTTTGAGGACTATGCAGTTCTCGACTTCCTACCTGTGATCTACATGTACTCCAGCAAGTACACAATGACACATCTGGGGCCTCATGTATCAACGCTTGCGGCGCAAGAAAACCTTGCGTACGCCAAAATCGGCGCACACGTCCAGATTTATCATCGCGAAACGAGCGTCGGTTCCAGCGCTAATCAACGCAAAGTCAGGAGGTGGTGTAGAAGTTGGCGTTGAGCTGGATATTTGCGTTGACTGTGATTCGCACTTTGGCGACGCTGTGTGGCGGTGTTTGGTGACTCACTATGTGACAAGCGTGCACCACATCCCCGTGGCCGGGCAGCACGTCGCCCCACATGACGAACCAGCAGCAGACGGAGGGATGCGAGCTGATCCCTGCCGGGCCGCCGTCCTCGCGCGGGAGAATCTCATCGCCACAGTGTGAATGGGTAAGAAGTGAATACACAGTTCAATGAGCCGAATTAATTTATTTTCTCCACCAGACGCTCGAGGAAATTTACGAGCCGGTCCAGCCGCTCATTGATCCCCGCGATTCCCCTGATGATTTCTTCCTGCGATTGCAGGACCCCCTCCGCGAGAACCCTTCCACTGCGTCCGGGTGGTCCAGCGGAAGCGCCGCGGATGGTGGACGCTCCACCGCTTGTCGGCGCGCTGGTGCTGATGCTGGTGCTGGGGCCGGGGGCCGGGGTGGCCCGAATGCCGCTGGTCCTGGCCGACGACTCCGAGCCGGCGGACGGGCTGCCGCAGGCCAGGGTTCCGCAAGCCGGCGATACGGCCGACACATTAATTTCTGTGACACAATAAAAATATTAGTTCATTTCAATTCCTGCTTCTGTGTATCTGTTGCGTTTACATCTCTCTCCACGGTATCATAGGTAATGTAATCCAGTATTTCGAGGTCAGTTATGCACATTACAGTTGTTTATTGCATAAAAAGTTATCGAAAAATGAAGTTAAGGGCGAAGTATAAATCACGTCTAAAAATAGACTGAATCCCGACGTTGAAATGAAGTATAAACTTAGACTAGACGTCTAATATACGTCTTTTGCTCAGTGGGATGACAAAGCATGTGGACATTTGTGTGACACGGCACTTACCCTATAATAATAATCGCCACCACCCGCTGCTCAAACGGTGTGAGGGTCTTCTCCCCCGGACCCCCACCTGTCTGGCCGGTACTCCTCCGGAGGGCAGCTGTACGCCGCTTGACCGCCACCTTGAGGTCCGACCAGTTTTTTTTAATCTCCGCGGGGGTGCGTGTCTCGGAACCCACCGCATTCACCCTCTCGCAAACTTTCTCCCACTCCAAGCGTTTTTGTTTTGCACTGACGCCACTGGACAGGCTGCCAAACAAAACACGCTGTCGCTCCTCCACCTCCGCCACCAGCACCTCCACCTCGCACGCCGTAAATGTAGTTTTTCTTGTCATTTTGTCTGCGTGCGAGGACAGGGAGACCCTATTTAAATAAATCTGCATATTTATAGGAGGGCGTAACGGGGACGGGCCCAGTCACTCCGACATCTGCGCTCAATTCCACGCTGATTGGGATTTATCAAGGAAACACACGTTGATTTCGGCGCCCGCACACATTGATACATACGGATTTTTTTCAGCGTGACGGACCTTGCGTGCGCTCGTTTCTGGTATGAGTTCCACGCAAGTATTGATACATGAGGCCCCTGGTCTTTGATGTGAAAAACCCATCAAGCCTTAAAGCTGAGACCATGTCCAAACGTGCCGAGGGGGGAAGACACAAGGTAATAAATAAGAACACCATGCTATCTAACTAGCATAACTTCCTGAGGCACAATGACAACAAAACAGAGTTGTTCCACCCTTGCCGACAAGGTTGCACAAATGTCGTCACAAAGGGACCTGTTGAATGTTGGATTCTGGGCAAACAAACCACTAGGGGGCGCACCCATATCGTTTGCGGTGGTTTTTTAAAACCTTATACACATACCTAACACCAGAACTAAAATCAGAAAATTGTCACAAAATGCCTAATTTTTAACTTTTTATGACAAGTTTCATCCTTCTGAATTCATGATTCATCTTTGCTGAATTCATGATTACTTCAAGGCAATGGCAGCCATCTTGGACACCATCTTGGTTTTCGAATTTCATGTTATAACCCTAATGAAAATAACATAATGGAAATGATATTTTCATATAACCATATGCACGTAACAACAATCGGTGTTACAAATTTCTCACTCTGCCAATTCTGTACAAGTATCTATATGCTGTATCTCAAGAACCGTAATGGATACAGAGATGTACTAGGTATCAAAATGTCTGCAATACACAACTTTATATTTAACTTCAATATATGTATGGGGCTTAAAATCAAGTCATTTTGAGTTGTAAAGGAAAAACCACATTTTGGGGCGGACATCTTGGATTTTGGGGCCGCCATCTTGGAATTTTGCGTGGCTAACGTTATTTTTGAAAGAGTGGGGTTTGAAGAGTATATGTACCAAATGTCATGCTTGTATAACAAAGTGAACGATTATTTCCTTATCTGCTCAGCTATCTGAGTCTGAAGCATGGCAGCCAATGTCCTTAGGGCGTGAATACTCCAGCCTGGGCCAGTCACAGTCATTACCTTTCAGGAAAACCATGAGTAACAAACTTGTGGTAGATACAAGGTGGGTGGGTTGCAGGGCTGGGCAGAGAGGACCATTTCTTGGTGTGTTGGCAGCATACTGGTCACCCTAGGATGAGTGGAAGTCCTAGCGGAGGGGCTCAGAGGTGAGAGGCACAGTGGTGGCTCTGGGGAGGTCACTAAAGATTTTCCAGAGATATTTTGAGACTTTTGAACTAGCTCTGTGTAAAGCATTTCAAGGTAACTGTACAAAATAATGTTTGAATTAAAAACTCTTGAGGACATTAGTTTCTTCACACTAAAAGTGAAATGACAGATAAACGTACAAGAAAAAGTGGACTCAAAAACTAGTGATCAAAAGACCAAATAGATGAAAGTGACAATGTTCAGATCTGTATTTTTTGTCCAATCTGGGAGTCCAGATGGAGATACTCAGCTGGCTAGAGAGGGTTCAAAAATAACATGCTTTCTCCCCAATATTTGCATGAGGACAGAAAGGGTTATTACTCATGACAATTTGACACAAATGTATTCAAGTTTCATTTCAAAAGTTCAAATTCAAAACATTTAAAAACTGGAGCCAAACATATTTTTAAGTAAAACTGACAACCCAGCCTCCCGAGGACCCTCTGAGCTCCAGAACTGTCACAAACAAAACAATCCCATTTGAGCTAAGGACAAAACTGGAATGTTACATTTTCATTG